ACCGCGACCAGCTGGGTGCCCGCCGGGTATGCTGGGGACAGGGACAGGGACGGGGACAGGGACAGGGACAGGGACTGGGCTCTGCTCAGCGGGGAGGTGGCTGGGGAGCACTGCCGGGCTGTGCTGCCCGTGTTCCCTCTGGCTCACTGGGGACATCCCGCTGGGGACGGGTGGCCCTGGCAGGGGAGGACGGCGCCCCTAACCCCATTTCGGTTGACAGTGCGACCCCTCGAGCAGCTGCGAGATGGACTGCGAGGCCAACAACAAGGTGGGTGGTGGGCAGGGCTGGGGGCACAGCGAGGGTCCGGGGGGAGGGCCTGCTGGCCCCTGTCCCCCTTCTTCCCCGCAGGGTGACCCCGTTTTCCTTCCCCAGGACCTCATCTGCGTCCTCATTGACGACGGAGGCTTCCTGGTGCTCTCCAACCAGGAGGATCACTGGTACCAGGTGAGCACTGCAGCCCCCAAAACGCCCCTCTCCTGGTGTGCACGAGGGAGCTGAGGACTCCAGCCTCGTGCCACATGTGGTGTTACACACCCCGAGTCCCCACCGTGGGAACCCCGGAGGCACGGTCCCACTGTGCAGACTTGGTGCAGACCCAGTTTGTGGTGTCCCCATCCAGGTGGGCAAGTTCTTCAGCGAGGTGGACGCCAACCTGATGTCCGCCCTCTACAACAACTCCTTCTACGCCCGCAAGGAGTCCTACGACTTCCAGTCTGTCTGCGCCCCCGAGGCCCAGAGCAACACGGGGGCTGCGCCCCGCGGCGTCTTCGTGGTGAGTGCCCCCAGGGACCCGCGGGGTGCCCCGGCACCACGCCAGGACCCGCTGCCTCACTCCTGCCCCTCTCCTTGCTCGCAGCCCACCGTGGCCGACCTGCTGAACCTCGCCTGGTGGACCTCAGCCGCCGCCTGGTGAGTGCCATCTGTCCCCTCCTTGGGATGCCCCTGGGGGACACCGGCACGTCCCCAGGGCCGGCACAGCTCACGTGGCCGTGCACTGCGTCCCCAGGTCCCTCTTCCAGCAGTTCCTCTACGGCCTCACCTACAGCAGCTGGTTCCAGACGGGTGAGTGCAGGGATGGGGACGTGGGGGCGGGCAGGTGACATCCCCCTGGCCGGGGACACGCAGCCCCAGGCCCCCCGTGCCCCCCGTGCCCCCATCCCACGGCACTGTGCGGGCGCAGAGGACGTGACGGCGGACAGCATGGAGGCCCGGGAGACGAGCTGCATCATGAAGCAGACGCAGTACTACTTCAGCACCGTCAACGCCACCTACAACGCCATCATCGACTGCGGGAACTGCTCCAGGTGGGTCTGGCCCCGCGGCTGGGGGGCTGCATGGCCCCATAGGCTTTGTTTGGGGACAGAATGGGACGGGACGGTGACCAACCTCGTGTCCCCCCAGGCTGTTCCACGCGCAGAGGCTGGCCAACACCAACCTGCTCTTCGTGGTGGCCGACAAGCCCCTGTGCAGCCAGTGCGAGTCCGTCAAGCTGCTGCAGGCGGAGGTCAGGGGTATCCTTTGGGGGGCCGGGGGAGGGAGCGCAGGGGGGGTGTGGGGTCGGGGGAGGGAGCTGCCCCATGGTTGGGGTCATCCCCGCCACCGCCACCCTGGTCCCCGTGGTTTCCTTGACCCGCGAAGCTCCCCCGAGAGACCCGAACCAGTGTGAGCTGGTGGACAGGCCCCGCTACCGGAAAGGCCCCCACATCTGCTTCGACTACAATGCAACCGTACGTGGGGGGCGCGGGGAGGGATCGGGGCGGGGGGCTGCCCACGGGGAGGGGAGCAGAGCTCTGGGGGATCCCTGGGGGGGGCAGAGCCATGGGGTGACCTCCTAGGGGGATGGGGTAAGCTGGGGATGTGCGGTGTTCTGGGGGGGCAGAGCCATGGGGTGACCTCCTGGGGGGGGAATGGAGCTGTGGGGGACCCCCGGGGGGAGATCGGAGCCCTGGGGGGACCCCATGGGGAGCGGAGCCGAGGGGGTCTTGGTGGGCAGCACCGTGGGGGTCTGGGGCGTGGGGACAGGGGACGAGGCACATTGGGGTCACATCGGGTGCCCCTGGGGCTCGGCGGCAGCTCCGGGGGTGCCCCACGGCCTCTCTCCCTTTGCCCCCCCAGGAAGATACCTCAGACTGCGGCCGAGGGGCTTCCTTCGCCCCCTCCCTCGGGGTCCTGCTCTCCCTGCAGCTGCTGCTCCTCTACTCCAGCGCCAGCCGGCACCCGCTGCCCCCGGCCGCCTGCCTTTAACCCGCGCCCGCCGCCCTCCTGTTCTCTCAGCCTCCATCTCCATCCCCTCCCGAGGCCCCGGCGGGATGGGAGCCACCTCCCTGGGGACCCCCCCCAGCCCCGGGGACGCCCCCCCCCCTGCGCTCCCCACGGCCGCATCCAAAGAAGAGCCGGGGTGCGGGCAGGGGCCCCCCAAAAAAAAACAGGAGGGCGTCCGGCCGCCCCGGCCGCTCGGACTCGGAAAGCCCCCGCCTTGTGCCCCCCCACACACAGCATCATCCTTCCCCCCCCTGGTCCCTCGCCTATTTTTTTAGCCTGAAGATTTTAAACCAGATCTTTCTACGTTGAGTTTCAGCCTGGAGAACGACGGCGTTTGTGGCCAAGCGACGAGGACACGTGGGGAAAAAAACATAAAAAAAAAATGAGAAAAAAAAAAAAAAGAGGGGGGAAAAAATATAACCTGAAAATAGGGAAGGTGATGGAGACGGTCGGTATGATTTATTGGGGGGGTCCGGCCCCCCGGGCGTGCGGGAGGACAGCGGCGGGTGGCAGCGTCCCTGCGGGGAGCCAGGCGTCGCCTTTGCCGGGACGGGGCCGAGCCCACAGTCCCCGCTCTCGGCTCATCTGCTCTCATTCATCCTTGGGCACAGAAATTGGGGTGAAAAAGGAGGAAAAAAAAAAAAAAAAAAAACAAAAAAAAAGTACTTTTTTTTTTTTTTCTTTTCCGTTCTGCAGATCACTGTGAAACCCTTCCCGTCCGCCCGCCCCAGCCCTGCTCGGCCCCTCCGTCCCGCCCTGCCAAAGAAACCGCGTGCCGGCCAGCGGGACCGGGCCCCAAAGGGATGCGCTGTGTGTCCCCAAACGGGACGGGACGTGTGTCCCCAAAGGGATGCACCGTGTGTCCCCAGATGGGACGCGCTGTGTGTCCCCAAATGGGGTGCGCTATGCATCCCCAAAAGGACACGCTGTGTGTCCCCAATGGGACAAGCTGTGTGACCCCAAAAGGGACACACTCTGTGACCCTAAAGGGACTTCACTGCCTGTCCCCAGCATGGACACGCTGTGCCCCAAAGGGACACGCTGCCTGTCCCCAAGCCGCCCGTGTCCCCAGCTGGGGCCATGCCGGGTGCCACCAGGTCCCCGCTGGGTGCCCCCAGCTCCAGCCCCACAGGCGTGGGGCTTTTTTTTTGGGTGGTGGGAGGGATGGGAGGGGGATGTGGGGACAGGAGCAAACCCACGGACCACCCGGGGACGGCGGGGAGGGGGCCGGGGAGGCGCTAATTAGCGCTGGGGTTAATTAATGGTCATTCTGCTTGTCGCTTTCTCGGTGTGTGTTTGGTTCCTGTCTCTGGGCCCCGTGTTTGAGCAGATGGCTCTGTGTTACCGGGAGTGTGTGTACTGCTGTAGTCTAGTTAGGTGCTGCGCCAGCCCCCCGCCACCATCCAGACCCTATAAATATGCACATGTCGCCCCCTTTGCGTTCAAAGCCAGGAGAGGGGGGGGTGTCACGGCCCCCACCCCGCCAACCGGGGCCGTGGCCTGCCCCTGCCCCACCCCGAAAGCTTCTCTCTGCTCATCCAAAAGGCTTTGGGTTGGTTTTTTTTTTAATTAGTTTCCTTTAATTTATTTTTCTTTTTTCTTTTTTTTTTTTTTTGTACAGAAGAGTTGGAAAACTCCCCCCCCCCCAAAAAAAAAAAAAAAACAACAACCAGACGATTTGTAAGATATCGTGCGTGTGACTCCTTGTAAAATATTTTCAAATGGTTTATTACAGAGACTCAGTTATTAAATAATGTTCATATTTTCACTTCACAGGCGGTGGCTGCGTCATTGCCCTTGGGGGGGGTGGGAGGGGGGACAGGGACCCCGTTGTGTCCCCTCGCTGTGCCGGGGCCTGGGGGACACAGCAGGGACTGGGGGGGGGATGCGGGCAGGGTGTGGGTGGGTTTGTGAGGCCGTGGGCAGGGCCCCTGGGCTCCCCCACAGCCCCATGTCCCCTTGTCCCCGTGTCCCGTGGGGCCGTGTCCCCTGTGTGTCCCCTCTCCTCATCCCATGCCCACATCCCCCGTGACTCCCCCATGTCCCCCATGTATGTGTCCCCCTGGGACAACCCCCCGTGCCCACCTGTGCCCCCAAACCACGTCCCCCAACCCCTGTATTGTGTCCCCTGTGTCCCCCATGTCCCCTGCCTGTGTCCCCATGTCCCCCACGTCCACATCCCCTGTGCCTGCATCCCCCATATCTATGTCCCCTGTGCCCCCCATGTTCATATCATACTCGTCCCGTATCCCGTGTCCCCTGTGCCCGTGTCCCCCATACCCACATCCCCCATACCTACACCCCCTGTGCCCCCATGCCCACCCCATACTCACCCCATGTCCCCATGCCCATGTCCCCATACATCCATATCCCCCATATATCCATGTCCCGTGTCCGTGTCCCCCATATCTACGTCCCGTGTCCCCCATACCCACAATATCCTTGTCGCATGTCCCCTGTGCCCCGTGTGTCCCCCATATGCCCATGTCCCCATATCCACATCCCCATGTCCCCATGTCCCCATACATGTGTCCATCCCCCCATGTCCCCATGTCCCCATTCCTCCCGCACCCTCCCAGTGGGCGTGGCTTCCCCAAGCCCCGCCCCTTCCCTCCCTAAGCCCCGCCCCCTCCCTCCCAAGCCCCGCCCCCTCCCCAAGCCCCGCCCTCTCCCTCCCCCCTCCCCTTCCCGCACCTCCCTCCCCTCCCTCCCCCCCCCCCCCCCCCCGCGCATGCGCACCGCCTCTGTTTGTCCGCGCCCGGCCTGGCCCAGCGGCGGGGCCTGACGGGGGCCGAGCGGCGCCGGGGCCGGGCCGGGCCCTGTGAGCGGGGAGGGGGGGGGGACACCGGGGCCTCGTCCCCGCCATGCGGCGCTTGGTGCCGGTGTCCCGGCAGCAGCTGGCCCGGGCGCTGGGCGGCAGCAGCGTGGTGGTGAAGGCGCTGAGCGGCGCCGTGCTGCTGCTGTACGCGCTGTCCTTCGCGCTGGACACGGCCCCGGCGCTGGCGGTCACCCCGGGGCTGCTGCTGCCGCCCGGCTGCCGCCTCTGGACGCTGCTGACCCACGGGCTGCTGGAGCGGCGGGCGGCCGGCGTGGCGCTCAGCCTGGGCACGGTGGCGGCGGCCGGGAGGCTGCTGGAGCCGCTGTGGGGGGCGCTGGAGCTGCTGCTGTTCTACGCCGCCGTCAACGCGGCCGTGGGGCTGCTGGGGGCCTGCGCCTACTGCCTGGCCTACGCCGCCACCTTCCGCCTGGCCTACCTGTTCGAGGTGCGCATCCACGGCGTGCCCGGCTTCCTGGCGGCCGTGCTGGTGGCGCTGAAGCAGACGATGGGCGACAGCACGGTGCTGAGGGTGCCGCAGGTGAGGGTGAAGGCGGCGCCCACCCTGCTGCTGCTGCTGCTGGCAGCCCTGCGGCTGGCAGCCCTGGTGGAGAGCGCCGCGCTGGTGTCCTACGGCTTCGGGCTGCTGTCCAGCTGGGTCTACCTGCGCTTCTACCAGCGCCACAGCCGGGGCCGCGGGGATATGTCCGACCACTTCGCCTTCGCCACCTTCTTCCCCGAGATCCTGCAGCCCGCCGTGGGGCTGGCGGCCAACCTGGTGTACGGGCTGCTGGTCAAGGTGAGGCTGTGCCGGAAGACGGTGAAGCGCTACGACGTGGGCGCCCCCTCCTCCATCACCATCAGCCTGCCGGGAACGGACCCCCAGGACGCCGAGAGGAGAAGGTAACAGCGGCCCCGCACTGCTGCGGGACCCAGAGTCTCCATGCGGGGGGGATTTGGGGTCAGGGCGCTGAGGGGAGCCTCCTCCATGGGGCCACCAGCTGGCACACACCCGCTGCAAGCTGCCCGCCCGCTTCCCAAGCCCAAATCACAGCACTGGGGCCAAGCAGGGGGTCCCAGGGAAGGGGTGTGTCGGGCAGTGGGGCGCGGTTCTTGCTGCCGTGTCCTCCCCGCCACCGTGGCGCAGCAGGAGGCGAGCTGAGTCAGCGCCGCGACCCGGCCCTCCCGCACGTGCGGTGGCAGCTCGGTCACGGGGTGAGGCACCAGCTCGCTGCTCACCTCGCTCCTCTCTGCTTCTGGAGCAGCCCCCGAGCACAGCACGTGGCGAGGGAGCTCTGCATGTCGCGCCTCGGTGCCTCCGTTTGGCTTCCCCACCTCTACCATGGCCCCAATTCAGGCAGCCCATGGGTGCTGGTCGCTGCTCCCCCTGCCACGGGGCTGTGCATGGGGTGAGAGGAGAGGGGAAGAGCAGGTACCATGCTACCTGTCCGTCCCTCACCCCGCTGTCCACCCACTTTTACCCCGCAGGCAGCTGGCCCTGAAGGCGCTGAACGAGCGGCTGAAGCGCGTGGAGGACCAGACGGCGTGGCCCAGCATGGAGGACGAGGAGGAGGAGGTGGTGGTGAAGAGCGAGGGCCCGCTGCCCGCCGAATCCACCGCGGCGGGGAAGGCAGCCGGCCACGAGAGCAGCCTGATCAGCTTTGAGGACGCCCCGTCCCAGCCGTGAGCTGCGGCCCTGCCGGCCCCGTCCTCCCTGCCCAGCTCCACGGGAGAGCCGCCAACGCCCGCACGGGGACGCTGCCTGCGGGGACGCTCCCGGCCCGGGGACAGGGGCTGCCTCAGCCCAGCACCGAGGGCCTGAGCGCCGTGGGGCTCTGCCTCTCGCTGCCCCCCCGGCGTGGATGTGGATGCCCGCGCCGGGAGCTTTGTTCTGGAGGGAGACCTCGGGCCGGTCCGCGCAGGCTGACCCCTGCTCCGAGGCCGCGAAGGGACCTCCTGGCACCCGGGGAGCCAAGTCAGCGAGTGGCACCGCGCTTCCTCGCTTCTCTGCACTCGAAACTTCGTTTTCTCCTTTCTCGATTTCGTTTGGTTCCTGATCTCGGGAACGGGAAGGCTCGGGGGGCTTTGCAGAGTCCTCTGCCCGTTCCCACCCTCCTTCCCTTTGCCCCAGCAGGAGGCCGACGGAGCTCCCGCGTGGGGCCAGCGCCCGGAGCAGGGATCGACCCTGGCTCCGTGGCGTTCATTCCGTGGCGTTGCCTCTCCTCTGTTTCCTCTCCTGCTGCAGCATTGCCCCAGCAGGGGCCGGTGCCCTCAGCTGCCGCTCCACTAATCCGTTTGCCAGATTATCCTAGAAGCTGGAATTAATTTTTACAGCGGGGCACAAGCTGCTTCCTCTGGCACCGGGTTTCTCTCCTTCAAGTAGAAACGGGCTCCCCCTTCTGTCCTGCTCCCTCCGCGTGGCCGGGCTGTCCTGGGCGAGGGAGGGAGAGGCTGCTCCCCAGAGCTCCTCGCCCCAGGCTCTGGGCCGCAGCCCGTGGCGGCGCGAGTTTATTTTTCTAAAGGACCACGCGGGAAGGTTTTGTCACCCAGGGAAAACACAGACGTTTCGGTATCAATAAACAGTTCTTTGAAAGAGCACTCGTTGGCCTCTCCACGCCGCAGCCGGGGCACCGAGCCGTGCCTCGAGTAGGAGTTTTCTCCCCAAACGGGGGCTGCTCGGTGCCAGGGATGTGCAGGGGCCCTGCCAACCACCCACCTGTGGCTGGTGCTGCTTTGGGTGCTCAGGGGGCTTCAGTTTGGCCCTTCCCAGGGCAGTAAGGAGGCCGTGCCACGCTGTAGCTGCCTGAAATCTTTATTGAATAAAAGCTCTGGATACAGAAGAGTTTCCCAGCTCGGGCACTGCTCCCAGCTCTCCGGCCCTGCCGGGAGCACGTTGGGGAGCAGCCCCGGGGCCGTCCCAGCGCGGCCCACGGAGCCCTGCGACGCTGGGGCCGGGAAGGCTGCGGGCTGTGGCGGGAGGAGAGGTGCTGCGGTGGCTTCCAGCCTCCCCGAGGGTCGCTCTGCTCCAGGAACCGTCCCCGGGCCCTGCCACCAGCTCCCACCCGGGGCTGTGCTGAGGACAGGAGCCCATGCAGCTGCCTGCTGAGGTCCCTCCTGTGCTTGCGCTGTTCCATGTGCCCGTGGGAGGACGAGCTGGCCCCTGGCAGGCTGCAAAACACCCCCCGGCCCCCGCCAGGCCGAAACCTCGCCGCAGGTAACTCCGCGGCATGGGAATTTGCAGCGTGGACAGGGAGGGAGGGGGAAGGAGCAGGGATCCCCGACCCTCCCCTGCCCAGGGCCGGGGACCGGCGGCATCCCCAGCTCTGGGGCACGTCCCAGCCGGTGCACGGCCCGCGGGGCTGCGGGACTCACGGGAGAGGCTCAGTGCTGGCTCCGCTTGCGGTACAGGTAGGCGTTGCTCACCTGGTTCATCACCACCAGGCTGCTGAGGAGCGGGCAGAGCACGGCCAGGTACCAGGCGGCCCCGCTGACGGCGGCGGTGAACCAGAGCGAGCACATGCCCAGCACCAGGCTGGCACAGCCCAGCAGGTAGCCCACCAGCCCGGCCGTGGCGTGGTACAACCTCAACTTCCCCGGCGGCCAGCCCCGGGCCAGCTTCGGGTAGAGCAGCAGCAGCCCCCCGAGGCTCTGCCCGCTGGCGTACAGCACCGCCAGCAGCCCGGCGCGGCCGTGCCAGGTGTGGAAGTGCCCCTTGCCCTGCAGCTCCTTGTGGTAGGCCACCAGCGCCAGCCCCAGCAGCGCGCACAGCAGCGCCAGCACCTGCAGGGCCCAGTGCGCCCGCACCTTGGCCTTGCGGGACAGCGAGCGCAGCGGGGACGCCTCGGGGGAGAAAACCAACAGCGCCTGGGTCAGCAGCAGCGAGAACTGAGGAGGGGGCAGCGGGGAGGGGGGGGCTCAGCGGGGGGCCCTGAGGCGCCCCCAGGCCCGGCCCCGCCGCCCCCCACTCACCGCCAGCGCCATCAGCAGCGGGTGCCAGGAGAAGAGGCCTGAGGGGAGCGGAGATGGGGGGGGGGGGGTGAGGCGGGGGCACGGCTCGGGGCCTCCCCGCTCTGCCCCTCCCCGACCCCCCCGCACTCACTGGAGCCCGGCCGGGCCAGCGCGGCCACCCCCGCGGGCAGCCCCAGGGACGCGGCGTGGGCGGCGGCGGCGGCGGCGGCGCGCAGGGAGCGGAGGAGCCGCGGCTCCCCCTCGGCCGGCAGCGACATGGCGGAGCCGGGAGGGCGGCGGCGTCGCGGGAGGGGGTGAGAGGAGAGCGCCTATTGGGCGGGGCGGGTGTCAGTCAGCGCGCCCGCCGCGGTGATTGGGTGAGAGAGGTGGTGCCCGCCCTTGAGGCCCGCCCTTCGTGACGCCGAGGGGAGGAAGCGGGGCGGGCCGGGAGCGGGGCGGCCATGGGGGGAAGGATTGAGTGCGTGTTCTTCAGCGAGTTCCACCCCACGCTGGGGCCCAAGATCACCTACCAGGTGCGGCGGGGCGGCGGAGAGGGGAGGGAGGAGGGAGGGGAGCGGCACCGAGGGGGGGGGAACATCAGCGAGGCGGAACGGTTCTACGGGGAAGCGGCACCCGGGGGGACCCGCGGCGAGGGGACACCGCTACCGTAAAGGGGGGCCGGCGGCGGGGTGGGAGCGCGGTGCTGCGGGGAAATGTGTCCGGCGGGGAAACAGGCACCGCGCGGGGCTGGTTCCGGGGTTCGTCCGTTCCGCTGTCACCAGGGCGCTGTCCCAGAATCACTGAAATCCCAGAATCACAGAATTTCTAGGGTGGAAGAGACCTCACGATCACCCAGTCCAACCTCTGACCTAACACCAACAGTCCCCACTAACCCATATCCCTGAGCTCCACATCTGAACGCCTTTTAAAGCCCTCCAGGGTCGGTGCCTCCACCCCCTCCCTGTGTCCCCGCAGGTTCCCGAGGATTTCATCTCCCGGGAGCTGTTCGACACGGTGCAGGTGTTCGTCATCACCAAGCCCGAGCTGCAGAACAAGCTGATCACCGTGTGAGTGCCCGCGGCCCCGGGGGGCGAGGCAGCGCACCCTGCTCCCCGCCAGGCCCCCCAGGCTCAGGCTCTGCTGCCTCCCCCTAGGACGGCCATGGAGAAGAAGCTGATCGGCTGCCCCGTCTGCATCGAGCACAAGAAGTACAGCCGCAACGCGCTGCTCTTCAACCTCGGCTTCGTCTGCGACGCCCGAGCCAAGGCCTGCGCCCTGGAGCCCATCGTCAAGAAGCTGGCCGGCTACCTCACCACCCTGGAGGTCAGCCCCAGGGCTCCCCCTCCTCAGCCTGCCCCGCGGTGCCCCCGGGGCAGGTTTGTGGCTGAGGAGGGTGCTGTGGGGCTGGCACCCACACGCAGAGGGACCTCGGGGTGCTGGTGGTGGCAGATAGACAAAAGATGGGATTGTCCCACTGTGTTCAGTGCTGGTGCAGCCTCACCTTGCACATTGCATTGTTCTGAGCTCCCCAGTCTAAAAGGTGATTGAAAGCATCCAGAAGAGGCAATAAAAGTGGTGTAGGGCACATCCTGTGAGGAGAGGCTGAAGACACTCTGGTTGTCTGGTTTGGGGAAAAGGAGACGTGGGGCGACCTCCTTTTTTCTCTGCTCCCTGAGGAGGGGAAATGCAGAGGCAGGCACCAGTCTCTTCCCCCAGTAATGGATGTCAGGATGCATGGGAACAGCACAAAGCTGCAGCTGGGGAGACTCAAACTGGACTTTAGGAAAAATTCTTTACCATGAGTGCAGCCAAACACAGGGACAGGTTTCCTGGAGAGGTGTTGGATGCCCTGTGGCTGTCAGTGCCCTAGAGGCATTTGGATAATGCCCTCAGTAATGTGCTTTCACTTTGGGTTAGCCCTGAAGTGCTCACACACGTGGCCTTGATGTAGGTCCCTTCCAATTGAACTATGGCGTTGTGTTCTGTTCTGAATTTTAAGGGTTACAAATGTCCCCAAACTTCTCCCTGAGCATTCAGCAGGCCTCTCCTCTTGCAGGTCTTGAATCAAGCAGGGGGCTCCCCAGTCTCCTGCTTCCTTCTTGCTCTGCAGTTTTATTTTGTTGTGTTTTTTTTTTTTATTTTTATTTTCCTTGGGAAGATTCTTGCTTTGGTGGTGGTACGGGGTCTCTGCTGTTGCTATGGTGCATCCCAGCAGCAGCCTGGCTCAATTTGTTGCTCTGCTAGAAGGAAGGCTCACTCAGGCTGACAGAAGGTGGCATCTGGGCCATGCAGCGCCTTAGTCAGTGACCCCTCTGGGAGGAGCTGACTCAACCTCCTTCCTGCCTTCTTTAGCTGGAAAGCGGCTTCATCTCCAACGAGGAGAGCAAACAGAAGCTGGTGCCCATCATGACCATCCTGCTGGAGGAGCTGAACGCCAAAGGAAAGTGCACCCTGCCCATAGGTAGGTGCTGCAGCGCAGCCCAGCCAGGCAGCGAGGGCAGAGCGGGGCTGAGAGGCAGCAGCTGGCCCTGTGCTGCTTCTGGCACTTTGTGCTCGCAGCTGGGGCCTGCCTGAGCCAGCCTGGCTCAGAGGGATGAGGTTTTTGGCCACAGCCACCTTCCTCCACGTAGCTTTGAGGCGTTCTGGGACTGCTGGCTGCAAGCTGCAGGGCTTGCTGTGAGAACTCAGGCTCCTTCCCCTCCAGATGAGTCGAACACCATCCACCTGAAGGTGATCGAGCAGCGGCCGGACCCCCCCATTGTGCAGGAGTATGACGTGCCCGTCTTCACCCAGGATAAGGACGACTTCTTCAACTCCCAGTGGGACCTCACCACGCAGCAGGTCCGTGCGGGGAGGGTGCTTAGGGCATGAGCTGCCCCAGAGCTCTGTGGTGCCCAGCACAGCTCAGCGCTCCCCACTTTCTGTGCTCGGGGCTGCAGGTGACCTGGTCGCTCAGCACACCAGGAAGCCTCGTGGGCAGCGGGGTGATGCTATGGGTGCCTCCTTCGGGATTTTGCTACCTGTTACCTCCCGTTCCCCTTCCCAGATCCTGCCCTACATCGACGGGTTTCGGCACGTCCAGAAGATTTCTGCTGAAGCCGACGTGGAGCTGAACCTGGTGCGCATCGCTGTGCAGAACCTGCTGTGAGTGCGCAGGGGGGTGAGGCCGGCCCTGACTCGGGGTGGAGGGAACTGGCTGGGATATGTGCCTCTCTCACCTCTCCCCTTGCCCTGCAGGTACTACGGGGTCGTCACGCTCGTCTCCATTCTCCAGGTGAGCTGGCAGCCACGGGTGGGGTGGCCCCACGGGGGACACCCATCATATTCCTGAGCCACAGCAAAACCAAGCTGCTCGTCCCTTGCTCCCCAGTACTCCAACGTCTACTGCACCACGCCGAAGGTCCAGGACCTGGTGGACGACAAGTGCCTCCAGGAGGAGTGTCTGTCCTACGTCACCAAGCCAGGTACGCTGCTCCCGCGTGGCGTCCTGGTGCTTGGGGACCCATCGGTGGCAGCTGACAGCATTTTGTCCCCGCAGGGCACAAACGAGCCAGCCTCAGGGATGTTTTCCAGCTGTACTGCGGCCTCAGCCCTGGCACGACGGTGCGAGACCTCATCTCCCGCTACACCCTGCAGCTGCAGCGGGTGGACGAGAGGTCGGAGCCCCATCCAGGGGCGTGATGCGGGAGGGCTGGGGGAATGGGCAGGGGATGGAGGGGACGTTTGAGGGCTGAGCATCGCATCCCTCTCTCTCCTGGCTCACCCCAGGAGGCTCATCCAGTTCGGTTTGATGAAGGGGCTCATCCGGCGGCTGCAGAAATACCCCGTCAAGGTGGCCCGGGATGAGCGCAGCCACCCGGCACGGCTCTACACGGGCTGCCACAGCTACGACGAGATCTGCTGCAAGACGGGTGAGGAGCCGTGGGGCGGGCAGGGGGTGCTGCGTGCCCGGGGGCGGTTTTGGGGTGTCCCCCCCTCACCTTTCGGGAGCCATTCAACCCCAGAGGAGTGGCACATGGGGTCCAGGTGGAGATGGAGGAGCTCAAGGGGGGTGGGTTATGAGGTGTGAGGAGGGAACACACGGCACTGATGCCAGGCACCCCATTTTTCCCCAGGTATGAGCTACAAGGAGCTGGATGAGCGCCTGGAGAACGACCCCAACATCATCGTGTGCTGGAAGTGACGGAGCCGGGCCGGCCGGGGCGTGCGCCGTGTGTGTCCCCAAGTTGTCCCCCCTTGTCCCAGTGCCCCCTGTGTCCCCCAGTGCCCCCTGTTGTGTCCCCACACGGTGCTGGGCGCCCCCAGGGCGCAGCGAAGGCCCCAGCTGCCATCATGGCTGCCGTTGCCATAGCAACAACGACAGACGCCATGGCCGCCGCGGGGCTGCTGCTGCCGGCCGAGGTCGAGGCGCTGGTGCAGGCCCTGAGGGGCACCGAGCTGCGGGATGCCGGCGGGCAGGGGTGCGGGGGGGTCCCTAGGGGCAAGGGAGGGGGGCAAATTTGGGGTGTCCCCAGTTTGGGGGGCGTTGGGGGTCTCCTGAGGGGATGGGACCCAGCGGGGCTGAGGGGTGTAAGTGTGGGGTGTCCCTCTGCGGGTCTGGGGTGTGGGGTCCCCAGGGACTCTGGGAGGGGGGTGAGCAGGGGTCCCAGGGGCTGTAAATGTGGGGTGTGCCTCCCCCCAGTATGTTTAGGGTCTGGGAGAGGTGTAGGGAGGGGCACCAGGGCTGGGGCTGCCCCAATCTGGGGTGGGGTGGTGGGAACATGGGGCTGTACATTTGGGGTGTCCCCTGAGGACTGGGGATTGTGGAGGTGTGAGGAAGGGTCCCAGCTGCGGGGTGACCCCGCTGCCCCGCAGGTGGCTTCGGCAGCACGAGAGCGTGGAGAAGCTCAACATGCACGCCATCCTCAGCGCCGCCGCCGGCCAGGAGCAGCTCCTCACCGAGCTGCTCGTCAGCCATGCCAAGGTGAGCCCCGGGTGGCCGGGGGGCACCCGGCTCTGCCCAGCCCTGTCCCTGCTCCCCCAGCTCTTGGCCCGTCCCCACTCTGTCAGGAAAGGCAGCAGCGAGCACCCCAAAATGTCCTGTGCCTGGCTGCAGGGGCCGGGTGGTCCCTGCTGGAGGAGTGCAGGTTCTCGGGGCTTGCCCCACGCGGGTGCTGTGTGCTCCTGGTACTCCTCCCTGAGTTTCTTTGTGTATGAGAAAATCACAAACTGCGTGGTCAGGAGGGATGGTGTGAGGCAGGGCGGCGGGTGGGGGCAGCAGTGATCCCTGTGCCAGGCCCTCAGCCTCCAGCTGGGATCGGCTTTTGGACAGCGGCCAGTTTGGGGATAAACCGTCGATGGCGAAGAATCTGCTGGCAAAGATCTTTGGTGGTTTGCCAATGTTGCTTTTTTTAAAAAATAATTAAAAGCCAAGCTGTGGTATTCCTGCCTGTTGGTCTCTGGTTCCTCTCTAGGTGCTGGTTTGTGCTGACCCCACTGGCTGCAGTTCCTTGCCCCATACCCGGGTGGCTCAGCCACAAAATAAATATCCTGGGCTGCACGGGGACGTGTAGGGCCCTGGCACTGCCCAGATCTTGGGGACGTTTTCCCCTTTTTAACCCCAGCAGCACTCTGGTCTCTGAGGCCAGAGGCTCAGTGAAAAGCTGTTGATTTGTGATGCCTCCCCAAAGTCTGTACAACTGAACGTGGGTGATAAAACGTGGCAGTAGTGTTGGGAAATAGCAGTTCTGCCCGGTCCCCTGGCTTCCCAGGCTTTCCCACTCATGCAGTATCTGCTGCGAAGGGAAGGCTCAAAAACTGGTGGTGTAAGAAAGCAAATTGGTGCTGTGCTGGGTGCTCCAGGACCAAAACGGCCACGGGGTGCTGGGCACCAGCCTGGCCCCTCTGCCTCATGCCCGTCTGAAAGGCTCCACTCCTGTCCAGATTCCCGTTCTCATCGGGGAGCTGATCTCAGCAGAGGTCTGGAAGCACAAGGTCTTTCCCGTGCTGTGCCAGCTGGAGGACTTCCACCCGAGAAGCACCTTTCCCATCTACATGGTGGTGAGTGGAAACTGGGCAGACGCTGCTGTATTTAAAAATGAATCCTGTGCTGGGGGTCTCAGAGCTGTGATTTTACCTCTCAGCAGGCTGAGATGTTGCTCCTGACAGCAGGTTCTGTACCTGCTGGTTAACAGACCCCACAGGACTTTGTTTTGTCTGGTAAAGAAAAGTACAGCCCCTGGGATTTTGGCAGTCCCTGTTATGTCCTTGCCTTTTCTGTGACCGGGAGCAGATCGGAGCCTGGAAAATCGTCAGAAGTGCCCCCCACACCCTTCTTCCTGGAGGGGTGCTGAGGAGCCCTCTCAGGGAATGGCTAGACCCTTTTCCCCATCCTGGCTCCTGAGCAGCTGTGCCCCGGGTGTATTTGCCCCTCTTTGAGCACTGTTTTTTTCTCTGGTGGTTCTAACCACAGCTTATGTGCCTCCTCGTTAAAAAATAGAAAAAAGTAGCTTTTTCTTACTGAGAGCAGAGATCCCTTGGGCCACTCTTGGCAAGAGAGTGATCTCAGTAAGTTGGCTTCCCTGTGGAGGGATGCAGCCCTTGATCTAAGGCAAATCTGCCCCAAAACTCTGAACTTTTAGCCAATTTTCATTCCAGAGTGACACCTTGCTGGGGAAGGGCAGTGTCTTCCCCGAGCAGCTGTTTGTCTGCAGCGTTGCCTCAAGCCAGTTATCTCCTGGTTCCTGGTCTCGGGACAGCACTGTCCACGCTGGCTTTTGGCCACGGCTGTAGAAGCAGCTTCTCACCCTGCGCCCCATCCCACTGCCCGTGTCACCCACTTGCTGTTTTTTTCCCCCACAGCTGTATCACGAAGCCTCCATCATCAACCTCTTGCAGACGGTGTTTTTCCACAAGGTGAGCGTTCAGCTTGCTGTAGCATAAGGGTGGGAAGTCACGGCTGTGGGCTGTGGGGGCTGGCTCCCTGTGAACCTCTTGTCGTTGTGAAGGAGATCTGCGAGTCGGCAGAGGACAGCGTTCTGGATTTAATCGATTACTGCCACCGAAAGCTGACCCTGCTTGCAGCTCGAAGCACCAACGGACAGGCAGCGACCCAGAAAGAGCTTAATTCCAAGGACCTGGTCAGCCTGTCGTCCATGCAGGTGAGGAGAAAGTCCTGTCGCTTGCTGGGGACACAAGTGACGGAGGCAGCAGGCAGCCCGAAGAAGCCCAGAGAGGTTTTCTTACAGAGGAAGCCTCGGCTGCAGCACTGGCACCTCCTGCCCTTTCCGAGGCACTCTGGTCTTAGAGATCATCTGTGCCCAGCTCGGACAGGCTGCGTGCTCCTCCCTCCACCCCACAGCTGTGTTTCCTCCCTGCCTCGTGACAGTGCCAGCTTCAGGCTGCCTGCAGGACAGATTCCTGAGCTCGGGGACAGCTGGAGAGTTGATAATTAGGCAAAGTAATCAGTGCAGGGGGTTGGCCGTTTGCTGCTGCTCTTGAAAGCTGTGTGGTGACGTCTCCATGGAGCTGGTGAAACCACCTGATCTCAGGCTGCCACTGGAGCCAGCCAGGGTTAACTGTGAGAGAAATCCCATCCGTAACTCCACGTGTGACACAGCTAGGGGTTGCCCTGCTGCATTTCCCTCTAACTTCCTCTGCTCTCTGAGGAACGCCTCCTCTCCTCGCTGGTCCGGGCCAGCAGCGAGTCCAGGGCTGTTCCCAGTCGGGTGTTTCAGGGTGGCTGCTCACAGATTCCTGCTGCGGGAGCTCCTTTTGCTTCCCAGCACCTAAATTTTTTTCCTTGAGCCGTGCAGATCACGAGGAGCATCTGGAGAGCTGGAGTTGAAGCGATAGCCTGCGAACTTGGCAGCACCTCCCCTCTGCTCCATCCTTTGGCCTGCTGCCTGAGCACGTGCTCCTCTCGCAGAAAGGGGAAGGAAGCGGAGGGCTCCTGAGCACAATGGGGATGTTTTCCAGGAAATGCTCTCCCAGCTTGAGCAGGGGGGGGGCGAGGGCTCTCTGTGCTTTGACACAACTCGAGGAAGAACAATCCTCTCTGGCTACTTGGGCTCTGAAAAGCGCTCGCCTCCCAAGAAGCCTGGCTTCCTCCGATTTATCCCAGCCTCTCCGCATACAATAACCCCGTGCTAAAAAGCAGTTCCTGCCCCCTCCTGCATCGTGGGGCCCCTTGGCTGTTACAGCTGCGTGCCGTGGTCACCCTGGGGCACTGCTCCGCTGGCACCCAGCAGCACTGATGGTCCCTGCGCTGTGGCAGCAGGGCTGAGGTCCAGCCACCAGCGGGAGCTGTGGGGTAACGGGGCTCCCGTGGGCAGCCCCACGAGCTCTGCCGCTCTGCCAGGGAAGTTTGGAGAGGGAGGCGGTGACCTGTGGGAGGGGGAGAGCCCAAAATGCTTTCCTGGAAGCTTTAGAGGAATGCAAGTGGCGTCTGATGGGAGCTGCTGAGGTCAGAGCTCTGCACGCAGAGCCGAGAGCTGGCGAGCAGCTGGGAGGGGAGCGGAGAAGGAATTGGCACCTCGCAGCCCCAACGTCGTGGTGGTCTCAAAAGGGGCTGACTCAGAGGGTGTGCAGGCTGCTAGCCGGGCCGCGTGGAGGATGGAGGTGGTGCCCACGCTGACTGGAAGCTGGGTTGCGTAGCTGTGGGCTGGGTTAGCCACAGGGATGTACTCTGCTGGCCCTAAGTGAGCTGGAGGGGAGAGGCAGCCCCAGAAAAGGGTCAGATCAGGACTGCGGCTGTGCCTGGGCCAAGATTCTCCTCCTCGTCCTCGTGATGATGCAGCTCCCCTCTCCTGCAGCCTCGTGTGTCTCTGCTGGGCCACGAGGTGATGCCAGGGAGGGAGAGAGCAGCAGTCTGGGACTGTCCTCTTGCAGGGGGTGGCACTCCTGGCACCGCCGGTACCCGCTGTGGCCTGTAACGGGCAGGGAGATGAGGGATGAGCTGCAAGCGCTCCTGTCCCTGCTCTGGCAAAGAAGCAGCGCTGCTGCAGTCCAGATGAGAACCAGAGTTTGTTCCATGGGGTTTTGGTTTCCTCCCCAGCCCGTGGTTGCTGATGTGCAGCCAACAAGCTGCCTCCTCGTAGCTCCGGGGAAACGGGGCCTGAAATCCTGAGTCTGTGCTTGCCCCTCCGCAGGAGCTGCAGGAGCAGGCGGAGGCGATGGAGTTTAAGATTTCTCTGAAAGCCCTCTCAGTGCTGCGGTACATCACTGACCAGGTGGACAGGTGGGTGCCCAGGGGCGGCACGGGACGTGCCCTGAGCAGCCCTTTTTGAGGTTCCTGCGGGTTGGAGGCCTGGGCCCCCTTCAGCCGCTGGCTGTGTCGGTGGTGGCAGCGGCGCTGTGCCCCAGGAGGCGAATACAGCAGCACTCCGCCCTGCTCTGTGGTACTTGTGGGAACAGGAGCTGCTCTGACCATCATTGTTTTTCTGCTGCCTCTCCCAGTTGCCTCGGGGAGCGTTTGTATCTGTTCTGGCCGTGGTCTGAGCGCGCCATTTCACCCCTTCTCTTCTATCTCCAGCTTGCCCCTGAGCGCGCTGACACGGATGCTGAACACCCACAACCTGCCCTGCCTCCTCGTCCAGCTGGTGGAGCACTGCCCCTGGAGCTGCTACGAAGCAGGTACAGAGCGTGTCCTGCAGCTCTGCAGCCAGCCACGGCCCCCGCTGCCCCCCAGCTTCCTCGCAGCGCCCCTCTGAGCGGGCACAGCCTGTGGGAAGCGGCGCTCCCCACTGCAGCCCTGCGAGGGGAAGGAACCTCAGCAGGGGTTCACAGCACGGGCAAGAGAGGAAGAGATTGTGGGAAGCACGTGGCTCCGTGCCTGCTGAGAGGAGCCCAGCTGGATGCGGGGCTTTCCTTCTTCCCCCGGACAGGAAACGCATCCCTTCTGTCCGCCTGCAAGCTTGGGGTGTCAGAGGAGCTTTGATCCAGGCCCCCAAGGGAGGGATGGGAAAGAACCAGAGCACAAAGGCATTTCCAGGCTGTGCAGATGCAGGGTTACATCCTCCTCCATCCCCCAGAGTAGCACAGCCGCTTGTTGTGTCTCGTCTGTTATGGTCGTTCTGCTTCTGGCTTTCACTGGCAGAAGAACCTCAGGGAGAGCAGGTACTGGCCCTGCTGATACCCCAAAACGTGCCTCTGCAGCCTCTCTGCTGGGCTCCCCACCATCTGCTAGTGTTCGTCAGTACCTGGCCGAGTACAGAAGGTGATATCGCAGGGATCTTGTAGTTCCTGCCACAGCCCTGTTGCTTCAAGACGCGTTCTTTGTGCTTTCCGTGCTCTCTGGTACGTTGGTTTTGTACCAGGAAGGCTGCTGTGCTGAGCAAAGGGCTGGGGAAGCTGAGGCAGGCAGAAACTGGGGGGCTTGCCTGAGCCAGAGCAAGGAGGTGAGCGCAGGGCAGCACCCCACCTCCGAGCTGTCTCTCCCTTGAGCCCCACGTTTGTCTCTCCCTCAGGCACGCTCAAGAAGTTTGAGAACGATGAGTGGTACGAGGTGCCCCCTGAGGATCAGGCTGAAGATAACCAAGCTCGACGGGCAGGTGTGGCTTGCCCTCCTCAACCTTCTGCTCAGCCCCGAATGCCAGCACAAATACCACTTCGACAGCTTCAACAAGAGCCAGCTCCTCAAGGTAGGCTCTGTAGGGTTCAGCGGTGTGAGAGCAGCGGGGTCTGACACCGTGCCAGCAGCACAAGGGCTGCATTTGCCTGGGCACCGCTTGGGACCCCCGTGAGTTGCTCTGACAGTGCCCCTGCAGGTGCCCAGCACGCACCCGGAGCCCTCTCACTCCTCAGCCCCATAACCCAGCTCTGGCTCCCTTGTCCTGACCTCTCTCCCTTTGTTCTTCTCACCCCCTGCGTGGCCGCAGCTCCGGGCGTTCCTGACAGACGTCCTGCTGGACCAGCTGCCCAACCTGGTGGAGATGCAGAGGTTTCTGAGCCACCTCGCGGTGACAGAGCCGGCTCCGCCGAAAAAGGATCTCGTGCTGGAGCAGGTATGGGGTGGCTCTTCCAGCTCTGCTCTTCTCTCCAGCTGCTCCACTTTGATCCTTGTCGCTCCCTTCCCCTTTTTTTTCCTCCTGCCAAACTCTGCTCTGGAGAGGTGGCAGAGTGTCAAGCACCCGTGTCACTGTGACACCATTACTGCCGGCTCAGTTGGCTCGCACTTCATCCAGTTCTCCTGCCCTTCCTCTGCTACAGCTGCTGGCCAAGCAGTCACTCCTCACGGCATAAAAGCTGGGCTGTAAACAGCTGTCGAGACTGCACTGAGTCGTCGGGGTGGTGGCTCCACAGGGCAGAGACAACCCCGGCTCATTTTAGCAGTGAACTGTTTGACATTTATCGTTGTTTTCCTGCTGGATTCTGGACTTCCCTAGGAAGAGCCCCTTCCACAGCCCTGGCCAAGGGCTGCTTGGCACGCTGCCTGCAGAAAAACGCCAAGGCAGTGCTCTGAGGAGAGGGGCTGGAGGCAGACCGATTCCCTGCTGCTGCCTGGGGCTTGGCAGATGGGCCCTGAGATGGTCTTCAGGCATTTTGGGGTCCATAAGTCTTCCAGTCTGGGCAGCGGTAACTCCTGGAGAAAAGTGTTTCTGATGCCTCCTCCTGAGCTGAGGGGGAGAAACCCTGTGTAAAGAGGAGGGCAGGTCTCTAAAGCATCTCTGTGCACCCCAGTTTACCTGCCACCGTGTCAGTGGGGCACAGACAGGCATCCGTCACGCTGGGGACCTCGTCCAGCCCTTGTCTGGGCTGCTGCTCTTCACCACAGCTCTGCTTTTGGGCTTGCGTTGCTCCTGCCTCCGCCAAGGGCAGGCAGGGGGAGCCAGCTGGAAGCGCACGCACGGGCTCCACGCTCTGCCCAGCAAGCAGTGAACTCACTCCCTGTCACCGAGCCAAGCTGAGAAAAGTCTTTTCCATTCGGTTTCTCCCCGAGCAGCCTCCTCCCCTCCCAGGCCTGGCTATTTTTTACTTGGCTGGAGCTGCCAGCACCGTTTGAAGCATCCTCCTCCTCTCCTCGCAGCTCTGGGCCGACGCTTTCCCTTTTGCAAAAAGCAGCCCTTCCCCTGGTGTTCGCCTTCAGGGAAGTGACGAGTGGAAAAATCTGCTCAGGCAAACGGCTCCGGAGTGCTGGGTTCAGTGCCTGCTGCAGTGCTGAGAGCTCGGGGCTCTGTCTGGGAGCTGGGGCCTCGCAGCCGAGCTCCTGCTCCTGAAGGTTGTGCCCCTTTCACCTAACGCTCCTCACCTCTGTCAGGGAAGGGGATCCGGCCCCTTAGGGTAACCAAAAACACGCGCTGTGCCTGCACCTCTGCGTGCTGCCTCTGCTCACCCTGCTCCTTGTCCCCGGGGCCAGCTGCCCTCCTGTCCCTTCCCGTCCCTGTGCTGCCACCTTCCAGCTCTGCCTCTCCCACCAGGTGCCCGTCATCTGGGACCACCTCCTCAGGAAAAACGCGGGCAAGTGGGAAGCCATCGCCAAGCACCAGGTGAAGCACGTCTTCAGCCCCACCGAGGGGGAGCTGAAGGTCCAGGCACGCAGGTGAGGCCCTGCCCCATGCCCGGTGTGACCAGTTGTCCCAGTCAGCAGGGACTGGCACCGCCACAGCTCCCTGCTCGCCCCCTGTCCCCTTTGTCCCCACTGCAGGTGGTCGCAGATGTACAGCCTGGACCTGCTGGAGGCTCTCGCCCCCGGCAAGCCCCGATGCCGGGTGTGTGGGGTGGAGGCGGCCAAGCGGTGCTCCCGCTGCCGCAACGAGTGGTACTGCACGCGGTAAGGCAGCCCCCAGCCCCCCGTCACCCCACCCTGCAGAGGGGACGTGTCCCCGAGGTGCTGGTGGCAGGGACGCTGGCGAGCACCCTGCTCCTGCTGCGGGGTCGGGGTGTCCCTACAGCACTGGGGGGTGGTGGTGGCACCGCTCAGCTCCCAGCAGAGCGGGCGCAGCCCTGAGCCGTGCCTCCCCCTTGCAGGGTGTGCCAGGTCCAGCACTGGCAGAAGCACCGCAAGGCCTGCGACCTGCTGGCACAGGCAGGGGGGACAGCGGGTGCCCCGTGAGCAGGACCTGCAGGAGGAGAAGCCCCTTGGGACCACCGGGGTGGGCTCACAGCAAGCATCTCCCCACCTGCTGCTCGCCGAGCCCCCTGCAGCCTCAGCCTCCCTCTCCCCACCACCCCCTCTTCTTCTGCACCCCATTGGGGCTCGGCTCCCCCTCTTTTCTCCTCTCCGAATGCAATAAACCACTTCCTCCCCTCCCTTGCACCCGGGGGCAGGTTTGTGTGTTGTTTTTTTTACTCCGTGATGCAACACGAGAAATCCTGGAAAACCTGAACAAGACCTGATACCCTTGTGGTTACCAAAAAAAGTCAAGCCCACCCCACACCCCAGCCAGGGCGTGAGCCCGTCCCTGCGGTGAGCGGGGCGCAGAGGCCCCCAGGCCACCTCGTGCCGTTCGAGCAGCAGGGGCGGGAGGCAGAGGATGTGGTTAGCACGAGGACCTGAGCGAGCAGGCGAGGCTCTGAGGTGCTCAGCGGCTGCCATCTCCCAGGCTCCGAGGAAGATGCTCTCTCTCTCTCTCTCTCTCTCTCCTGGGGCGTCAGCACCAAGGGCTTGGTCCCAGAGCACTGAGGGGGATCCCAGTGCTGTCACTGGTGTCACTGGGGCTTGCAGCAGCCCGGCTGGGAGCTGGGCTTTGCTCCCCAGTGGCCAGGGTGGTGGAGGTGGCAGTGCCACCGGCTGCGTTCTCTCACCGGGTGGCCCCAAAGCGCTGCCCCCTGGCAGCCCCCGGGCACGGCTCGGGGGTGCCGCTGCCGCCGGGACCCGGGGGTGGCCCCGGGCCGATCGGGGCGGCCCCGTCGGGGAAACTGAGGCACGGAGCGGGGCTGCTCCGGTCCCGGGACCGCACGGAGCGGGGCCTCCCCGGGCCCCCCGCCCCGTCCCCGCCTCCAGCCCGCCCCGCCGCCCGCAGCCAGCGGAGCCGCCGCCGGTTCAGCCGCCGCTCGCCGGGGCCGGGGGGGGCGTGGAGCGGCCCCGGCCGTGCCTCAGTTTCCCCGGCGGTGCCGCGCGGCTCCCGGGGCCATGGAGCTGATCGAGCTGCGGGAGCTGCAGCCGGAGCCGCGGCCGGGCCGGGGCCGCTTGGAGCGAGCCAACGCGCTGCGCATCAGCCCGGCCCGGAGGCACGGCCCCGCGGCACGGCCCGAGCCCCGGCTGGCGGCGGCACCGGGCACCGGGCACCGCTTCGAGCCGCGGCGCCGCGGGCTCCACACCTGGTGCGACCTCTGCGGGGATTTCATCTGGGGGGGCGGCAGGAAGAGCCTCCAGTGCCGCCGTGAGTAGCGCTCCCCAGCCCGGTCGCCCGCCGCCGGGCACGGCGTCCCGGGACTGAGCATCCCCGTACCGGGCATCCCCATACCGGGCATCCCGGTACCGAGCATCCCCATATTGAGCATCCCGGTACCGAGCATCCCCCGGGCAGCGGGCAGCTCGGGACCGAGCATCCCGGGACCAAGCGTCCCGGGACCGAGCATCCCCCCAGGCAGTGGGCGTCCCCATACCGAGCATCCCGGTACCGAGTCTCCCCATGGGCAGTGGGCATCCCGGTACTGAGTGTGCCCCTGGGCATTGGGCATCCCAGTACTGAGCACCCCCCGGGCAGTGAGTGTCCCGGTACCGAGCATCCCCATACTGAGCATCCCGGTACTGAGCACCCCTCGGGCAGCGGGTGTCCCGGCACCAAGCACCCCCAAACTGAGGGTCCTGGTCCCAAACATCCCCAACAATCAGCCCGGGGAGGGGACGGGGGCACCCCGGTACCAGCGGGCAGCTCAGCACAGCACCGGGTCCCACGCGGGTGCTGGCCCTGGGTGCCCCAGCACAGCGTGGGCAGGCAGCACCCCCAAATCACCCGGGAGGAGCTGGGGGTCTGGCGGTGCTGGTGTCCCCACTGTGCCCCCTGTCCCTGTCCCCAGACTGCAGCTTCACCTGCCACTACCGGTGCCGGGCCCTGGTGCGGCTGGACTGCAGCGGGCCCCTGGGCACCGGGGACGAGGACGACGGCACCGAGCAGGAGCTGGAGAAGGACACGAATGTGGTAGGGGACGTGGGGCACACGGGGCGGGGGGGACAAAACCCAGGACGGGCTGTGCCGTGCCGTGCCATGCCGTGCCGTGCCAAGGTGTGCTATACTGTGCTGTGCCGTGCTGTACTGAGCCGTGCCATGCCAAGGTGCGCTAAGCTGTGCTGTGCCGTGCCATGCCAAGGTGTGCGGTGCCGTGCCATGCCGTGCCAAGGCATGCTGTGCTGTACAATGCCGTGCCATGCCGTGCCGTGCCGTGCCGTGCCGTGCCCCCCCGCAGCCCCGGACCCCCTCGGGCACCCTGCCCGGGTGAAATCACCGCCGGAAACGGGGCCGTGCCGCGCCGCCCCCGGCCCGCGTCAGCTCAACGGCCGCGGCGGGGCGGAGCCGTGCTGAGCCGAGCCGAGCCGGGACAGCAGCGGGGCCGCGCCGAGCCGAGCCGAGCCGGGCAGCGGGGAGCGGGCAGCACCGAGCCGAGGCTGGGGTCGCGACAGGGACCGCGCCGAACCGAGCCGCGCCGGGAGCGGGCCACGGTGCCGCGCCGAGCGGGGCCCGAGCCGAGCCGAGCCGCGCCGGGACCGGGCCGAGCGGCGGCACCGAAGCGCTCGGGGCGCAGCGGGGCCGTGCGGAGCCGAGCCGGAGCGGCCGGGCTGGCGAGGGGCAGGGAGAGCCCCTGTGCCCGGGCAGGGGCCGCAGCCGTGGCCGGGACCGGAGCCGGGACCGGGACCGGGACCGGGGCCGGGGCCGGGGCAGGGCCGGGGGCGGTGGCCGGGGGCTGCGGGGCGGCGGCGGCGGCGGCGCTGGCTCTGCGCTGGGGCGGCGCGGGGGGCACGGGGGGCAGCGCGGCCAGCAGCGGCTACTGCAGCCAGGAGGACTCCGACTCCGAGCCCGAGCTCTTCTACACCGCCCGCACCTCCCTCGGCCGCCGCCCGCGCCGCCGCCAGGTCGGTCCCGGGCCGCCTCTGACGTCACTGGGGGGTGACGTCACGGGGGGTGACGTCACGGGGGGGTGACGTCATGGGGGGGGACACACGGTGTTGGGGGGGGTCGGTCCTGGCTGCGTGCCGGGGCAGCGCGGGGGGCGCGCATGGCTTGGGGCGGGGTGCCCGTGGGGTGCCCATCGGGGGGGTTTTGGGGTGTCCCTGGGGTGCCCACGCTGGCTGCGGGGCGCCCGTGGGGTGCGCGGGGCTTGCAGCACGGCGAGCAGGGCACCTGAGCTGTCCCCATGCCCAAGCAGGGTCCCTCCAGCAGCCCCCCCCCAGGCTGCGCTTCAGCCCCGCGGCACCACGGAAATACTCATTAGCCAAATACTCATTAGCGGCTCCAGGCGGGCTGCCCCAAACCCCCGGGGTGTCCCCATCGGGTACCCAGCCCCGTCCCGGTGCCGGGCTGGCGGCTGCCTCGGGGACACCGCCGTGATCTGGGATGCCGGGAGGGGACATGAGGCCGGTGGCTGATGCAACCCCGCACGCCCCGTCCGCTGTTGATGGGGTAGGGCCACGGCTGTGCTGTGCGGTGTCCCCCCGGGGTGGCCGCTCAGCCCCGCTGCCCTCCCGCAGGATGAACCCAGCAGCTGGGACACGGCCGAGCTGGACCCGGCGCAGGTGGAGCAGCGCATCAAGGAGTACAACAGCCAGATCAACAGCAACCTCTTCATGAGCCTGGTACGGGGACAGCGGGGGGGACAGCGGGGACCGCGGCGCCCTGCCCTGGGTCCCCCACTCACCACCCCTACGTCTCCCCCCAGCGGCAGAACAAGGACGGCTCCTTCACCGGCTTCATCAAGGTGCAGCTGAAGCTGGCGCGTCCCGTCTCCGTGCCAGCTGCCAAGCGGGGGCCTGGGGGGCGGCCGGGGCAGCGCGGGCCGGGGGTGAAGCGCCGCACGTCCTTCTACCTGCCCCGAGGCACCGTCAAGCACCTGCACGTCCTCTCGCACACCCGTGCCAGCGAGGTCATCAGCGCCCTGCTCAGGAAGTTCACCGTGGTGGACGACCCCCGAAAGTTCGCCCTCTTCGAGAGGTCCGAGAAGGATGACCAAGGTAGCGCCTGGGGGGGGTCCCGATGGTGTCCCCCCAGCGGCACCGGCCTCGTGGTGGTGGCCCTGTGGTGGCAGCACTCCCCGGGCAGCAGTGGCCCTGTAGGGTGGTGTCCCCCCTGACAGTGGTGTCCCCATTGTATCAGTGTCCCCACAGTGGCAGTGTCCCCCGTGGTGGTGGGTGGTGTGTGTCCCTCTGGTGGTGGCGGTGTCCCCTTGGTGGTGATTGTGTCCCCATGGTGGTGATTGTGTCCCCTTGGTGGCGGTATCCTCATGGTGGTGATTGTGTCCTCGTGATTGTGTCCCCATGATTGTGATTGTGTCCCTGTGGTGATTGTGTCCCCTTGGTGGTGGTGGTGGTGTTACCTTGGTGGTGATTGTGTCCCCATGATGCTGGTGGTGTCCTCATGATGGTGATTGTGTCCCTTTCATGGTGACTGTGTCCCCATGATGGCAGCGGTGTCCTCATGATGGTGACTGTGTCCCTTTGGTGGTGACTGAGTCCCCTTGGTGATTGTGTCCCCATGATGGTGGTGGTGGTGTCACCATAGTAGTGATTGTGTCCCCATGGTGGTGCTGGCATCCCTACGGTGGTGGTGTCCCCATGACGATGACTGTGTCCCCTCGGTGATCGTGTCCCCATGATGTTGGTGCCATCCCTATGGCATTGGTGTCCCCATAACACTGATCCCCGTGGTGTCCCCATCCCCATGCTGGTGGCGTCCCCACGTTGCCAGCAGCACCCTGGCGGTGCTGACCCACAGCCCCCTGCCCGCAGTGTTCCTCCGCAAGCTCTCGGACGAGGAGCAGCCGCTTCGGCTGCGCCTGCTGGCTGGCCCCAGCGAGAAGGCGCTGAGCTTCGTGCTGAAGGAGAACGACAGCGGCGAGGTCAACGTGAGTACGGGGACGGTGTGGGGCCGGGCGCTGCGGGGCATGGTGCCGTTGCCGTGCCCGGTGCCAGGCGCGCTGTGCCCCGCAGTGGGACGCCTTCACCCTGCCCGAGCTGCACAACTTCCTGCGCATCCTGCAGCGCGAGGAGGACGAGCAGGTGCGGCGCGTCCGGCACCGCTACGCCCGCTGCCGCCGCGAGATGCAGGACGCCCTGGCCATGAGGGCACCGCGGTGACCACCGCCACCGTCACCACCACCAGCAGCACCAGGACGGACACCTGCCGGCGGGGGGACGTCGCTGGGACGGAACGGGACGGGATGGGGCGGAATGGGGCGGGATGGGGCGGGGGGGACAGGAATAAAGCGGCTGCACCCCCGCGCCTCAGGCCCTCTGTGTGCGACTTGTGGCGGAGCCGGGATTCGAACCCGCGGCCTCGGCGGGACGGGGAGGGAGGGAGGGGTGGGGTGGAGCGGGCGCCGCTGTCACGCGGCCTCCCTGTGTCACGTGGTCTCCCCTGTGTCACGTGCAGGGGGCGCCGCCGCGCGCCGGAAGTGTCGCAAGGCAGCGGCGGCGGCGGAGGCAGGAGGCGGCCGGGAGCTCCTCGGTGCCGCCGCCCGGCCCCCGCCCCGCCTCGGGGCCCCGCCGCTATGGGCGCCAGCGGCTCCAAGTCGCGGGGGCTGTGGCCTTTCGCCTCCTCGGCGGCGGGCGGCGGCGGCGGCGGCGCCGAGGGCCCCGGCGGGCAGCAGGCCCTGGCCAGGCCGCGGGGCGCGCGAGCCGCCACCCCCTTCGTGTTCACGCGCCGCGGGTGAGAGACAGGGGACGGGGGGGGGGGGGGGGGGGGGGGGGGGGGGGGGGGGGGGCGTTGCCATGGCAACGGGGCAGCGAATGGGCGCGCGGGGTGGTTGCTATGGGTGGTTGGGGGGTTGCTAGGGGGGCCGTTGCTAAGGGGCCGTTGCCGTGGCAACGCCGCCGCCGCCCGGAGCGGGCCCGCGGCGCATCCCTGGGCCCGCGGCTGGAGCCGGGACCGGGACCGGAGGGGCTGGGACCGGGCCTTACGGGACCGCACGGGATGGGAGGGGCCGCCCCTGCCACCGCCTCCCCACCTGGCCCCACGGATGGCCCGGAGCAGCCGCCCCTCTGACGACCTCCTGCGCCTTCCCGCAGCTCCATGTACTACGACGAGGACGGGGACCTTGCCCACGAGTTCTATGAGGAGACAATCGTTACCAAGAACGGGAGGAAGCGTGCCAAGCTGAAGAGGATCCACAAGAACCTGATACCTCAGGTATTGTGCGCAGAGGGGCGGGGGAAGGCAGGTGGTGAAACGTCCTGCTTGCACCCGCGGTCCTGGCCTTGCAGCAGCTCCTGCACGCCTCGGGGTTAGGAGGAAACCTCAGGGCACCGTACTGCAGGCAGGGCGTTGGCTTTCTGCTTTTCCCACAGCTCCCACTCCCGAGCTGCAGCTGCTGGGTGTCCCAGCTGCCCCATGTCACCTTGCCAGGCTGTGGTAGAAGAGGGAGAGATGGTGACAGCCTCCAGGCTCCCTTTCCAGGGAGGAGCAGAACCCCAGTCCTTTAGAGCCCCCAGGCCGGGAGGTGGCTCACCTAGGCGTGTGTGGCAGGGTGTAGCACCAGGCCGTGGCAGCCCGGCACCAAACACCTGCCCTGAGGCGCAGGTGTTCGCACAGCTGTCACATCGCAGCTGAGGGTTTGGGAGCAGCAGCCAAAGCCAGTCATGTGCTGACACGAGCGTGCCCATCCCCCTTCCAGCTCGGTGGTGACAACAGTGCTGCCAGCGATGTTTTTCCCTCTTCGGAGGTGCTCAGGATTTAGTGCTCCCTCGATATAAGTGAACATGGTGAAGCCAGGCAGGAGGCGGGATGCTAATTGGGGTGCAGGAGAAAGACAACTGAAGCATAGAGGAGCGTCTCAGGGGTGTAAATAGTGAGAAGGGAGGAGGAAGCCCGGCTGCAGAGCACCCCGCAGGAGTCTGAGGTACACAGAAAGGCAGGACGCAGGCGTGAGCCCAGGGGGAGCTGTTGGTGTGCTCCAGGGGTGGGCAGCCCCCAGCAGGACAGGCTCTGCTGCTCTCACAGCGGCGGGGCGTGGACGGGGAGCTGCGTCCCAGCCCTTGGTGCAGGTTAAAACCCACCCAGTGGGAGAGCTTGGCCCAGCTGGAGAGGGCACAGAGCGGCTTTTCACGGGGCCAGGTTTTTCTGTGGGCCTTTATCCTGCTCCTGCCAAGCAGGCACGTGCTTCTTGCCCCGGCGGGCACGGTGCCCCGCTCACGCTGCCGCCTGGCGAGAGGGTCCTGGCGGTGCTGTGACAGGAGGACGCTTGCCCCGGGGCATGGGAAAGGCGCCTGTAGCTGGTGTGGACGGAGCCTGTATTCAGCAGCATCCCCTCTGGACAGAAAGCTGCTTTTCTTGCGTGCCAGCTGCCCTCGCTGCTTTCTCTCAGAGAGCTCTTTTCAGTCTTTTAAATCCCGTGGATGCGAGGTGCCGGGGGAGCAGCCCAGGCAGCCGCTCTCTGCCAGTCATGCCTCAGCTGCTGCACGGGCAGTGCCTGGCAGAGCGGCTCCCTCCTCCCGCGCCCGGCTGCGCTCCAGACCCGGCGTGGGCGGCAGCGGCCGCGCCTCGTTGGCTCTCCAGGGATGAGGGCAAAGGGCAGAGCGCTTCTGCATTGCACGCTGCTGCTTGCGGGTACCCGGTGCCACAGCGGCTTCAGGGACCGGTTCCTGGCCCAGCTTCCTCGAGGGCATGGTGCCCTTCGTGGTGCTGACAGTGTACAGGGCAATTCGCGGAGCTTCATCTGCCTCCAGAGCGCTCGTTCTGTCCCCCTGCCCACTGCCCTGCCTCTCCTTTCAGGGTATAGTGAAACTGGAGCACCCTCGCATTCATGTGGATTTCCCCGTGATCATCTGCGAGGTGTGACCGCCGGGTGCTGCTGCCCACGGGCGGGACTGCCCCGAGTGTCACCGCGCGAGGCTGCCCCGAGTTCCCGGCGAAGCGGAGGGCGCTCGGACGAAGGAGGACGCTCGGACACTCAGACGTGGATTGTGGCTCTCCCCTCGCCCGGGGGCAAGGCGGGACGGAGCGGGCTCGGCCGGGCTGTGCTTGGCTGCTGCTCCTCGCAGGAGATGGGTGACCTCGTGCAACGACTGCTTACAAACACCCCTGCTTGAGTCAGAAGACTTGAAATCTCTTTCGTAGCCTCTAGCCGACGTTCGGATGGGTGACTGGAACTGCACGCGAGCTGCTGCGTTTGAGCTGGCAAAGGGAGAGCGAGCCCGCGCTGCTCAGCAGACAAAGCCCCCTGCTTCTCAGGTATGCCCCGGGAGAGCCAGGGCAAGGTGACCGCTGCCCGGCGGTGAGGAGGCCGGCACCGCGGCGCTGCGCGGAGCTCCCCGCTGGCTCTGACGGAGGGGGACCGGGAGCCGGGCCGGCAGCACGCCCGGTGGGTGCTGCGCTCCTCTCGGGGCGGAGATCGGGTGCCGTTCCCTCGGACCTCTGCCCCTTCCCCGCGCGTGTTCCCTGCTCGTGCTGCCTGGCCGTGGGGCCCTCCGGGTTCCTCCCCGCCCGCGCCGCGGGAGCGAGTTGGCTCCTGCAGAGCACGGCCCCTCGCTGCCACGGGGCCGGGCATCGCCTCAGCTTTCGCCCTCCCTCCCGATGGGATCGGCCTCGGCAGAGCCCGGCAGGAAGGAAATCATCGCTTCCCTCCCCGTCCCTCGCAAACAATCGGTCGCTAGGCCTGCCCCGGCTTGGAAATCTCCCTGGCCATGTGAACTACGGTTCCCCCCGCGCCCCAGCTGGCGGCAGGAGGAGAAACGCCATGCACTTTAACGGGAGGCTTTCTGCTCCGTTCCGGAAGGTCCTGCTCTCTTCTCCTCACCCTTCCTGCTCGAGGCCGGGGGCGCCTCAGCCGCACCCAAAAATCTCCCCCCCTCTGCCAGCGGGCCCCGGGGCTCCGGGCCGGCTTCTGCGGGACTGGCAACGGCCCCGAGGAGCCTTGTGTCAGCCTGCCCCGCAGCCCGCTCCCACAGCAGCCCGCCCGGCTTCCCTGCTCTTTCATCCCAGAACTTATTTACTTTCTAAGCACTTCAGACGTTCGCTACCTCGATTATTTTTATTTTTTTTTGATTTAAGCTGCTGGCGCTTGGCCGCCGGCCCTATCGGCGTCTGCGTTGGATGTATCCAATCCCGTATCCATCCCTGTGCCCAGCCGGAGCGGCCCCGGGCGCGGGGCCACATTCCTGGCTCCGGGGAGATAACCGCGGCGTGGCTGTTGCCGTCTTCCTGTCACCACCTCTTCCCTCCGAGTCCCCCACCCGCTGTTCCAGTGACAGGGCGGGCACGGAGGGCGAGGCGGATGTGCCGGGCAGGGCTCCAGCGGGGAGCTGGTCTACACTGTGATGCTGGGCGCCTCTCTCCCCATCTTTTGTTCTCCCGCTTGCTTGAAAGAGTCTGTCTTCAAACAATCCCCCTCTGAAGAGTTTCTTATTCACGCCACCTGCTCCGAGTCGGGCTCAGACCGCAATCTCCTGGAAAACCGCCTCTCTGGGGCCGCTTTGTTCTCGCTGAGAGGCTGCCCTGCCCCTCCTCCCTTCCCCCAGGGCAGTGAGCCTGCGCTTCCCCCAGAAACTCGCCTTCTCCCACCCTCTTCTCCCCGCCGAGGAGAGGCGGCGAAGCCGTGCGGGCAGGCGCCGATTTGCCTCGCCCTGCTTCTCCTCCCCAGCCTGGAGGGTCCTCGGGAGCGGCTGAAGGCACCCGGAAAAATGTGAAGATCGCTGTAAATAGTATCTGTGTCCACTGTGTCGTTGGAGCAAGCGAAAAAAAAAAGGAAGGTTTCCTTGCCGTGTGTTATTTTTTTTTTTACCACCTCTGTGCAACTTTGTGCTTCCCCGTGTGGATGTGTAGCCGAAGCGTACTCACCGACACTAGGGTTCTTGCTCCTCTAGCGTGTGGATAGGAAGCGGGGGGGTTGAGAAACGTACACTATTTATGGCCCTTCCTCTGCCTCCGAGTGCATCTGTCTACTTTTGTTAAATTTCAATAAAATTGTTTGTAGATCCCGCAAGGTTGGGAGCGGCTCAATGGGGAGGGCCGCGGCCGGGAGCCCACGCGAGGAGGGAGGCTGCGGGGACCCGAGGAATCTCAGCTTCTCCTCTCCGAAACCACAGCCGCCTCTTGCTGCCTGGTGCCAAAACGGTGGCGAAACCCAGCAGCTCCCGGCGTCCTCCGGCACCGGGTGGGGGCTCGTGAACGTGGTGCTGGATGAGTCCGAGCCGCTAAGCTCTCTGCTCGCTCACGGATTTTTTCCCAAGTGGGCAGGAGCGCGCGGAGGAGGCTGCTCGGGTGAGTGCGAGCACCAGCAGGGAGGGCTCCTGCTGCCGGGGCCGTTAGCGGTGACCCCTTTGATGCCCCGGCTTGGGATTTGGGACCTGCTGCTTAACGAGCTGCTGGGGCCGGCTCCTCTTCCCAAACCGAGTGGAAATCCTGCCCTGGCTGCGTGCGGCCGCGCTGCGCTGACTCAAGCCGAGCCCCACGGGGACAGGATCTGCGCGTCCGCTCCTTAATCACCCGCCTGACAAATCGGGGCCTCGTCAGTTGCGCTCAGCTAACGAGTTTCTCATCGTTGGCGTGACCCCACGCCGGGATGCCGCCCGCTGTCCCGGCCCTGCCGGACGGAGCGAGCATGATCTCAGCGCAGCCCTGCATCCTGCTCGACCCCGCAGCCCTGCGAGCCTTTTCCTGCCACCGCATGTGCCTCGCATCATTTCCTCCACGCCGGCCGGCTGGAAATCGAGCCGCTGACGAAAGGTTTCATGACAGCAACCTACACGGCTCGTGGGGATGCTGCCACAGGCTCCCAGAGCACCGGCTCTGCCCGCTGTCCCGTGAGGACCTGACCCCTGAGGGGACAGCTCACGGTGTCCCGGTGGCGGGCGTCACGGCCGGGCGCGGCAGAACAATGCGGCCGCCCTGGCTCAGCCCCGGGCAGCTCCGCGTCCCGCTGCGACACGCGGCCGGGCCCCGCTCCTGCGCCCCCACAGCCCGCCCGGCCCTGACCCCACAGCCACCGCGGGTGCCACCCGGCCCCCGGCGCACGGGGATGGAAAATTTGAGGCATTTTCTTGTGCCTGTTTACGGCCCCAGCAGGCAGCACACAGGGGAAGGGCAGTGCCCGCCGGGTGGATTTCTTGGCTCTTGGCGGAGTTTTTTTGGCAGCTCTGCTGGCGGCACCGTGGGCGCTGCGGGATCCCAGGCTGGACGCGGATGGAGCCCCAAAGCCACCCATGGGGGATCGCCCGGGCTGGACCCCTGCTGAGGGGACGGGGACGGACTCGGGGCGGTGACACGATGGCGCTCCCGTCCCCGGGGAGCGCTTCCGGAGATTCAGCCCCGCTTCCTTCCCCGCGCCGGCCGGGCTCGCCCTGGGCTTCCCACCCTTGTCCGGGCTGGGTGGCTCCTGTCCCCGCAGTCCCCATCCTGGCGGCACCGGCAGCGGGTGGGTGGGGGCCACCGCTGCTGCTGGGGGACGTTCCTGTCCTCGTGGCGAGTTCACGGGGACAGGGGGTGAGCAGGGGTAGGGATGGGGACACCGCGGGGAGCTGCCGTCCCCATGTACCCAGCAGCCGGGGCTCCTGCAGGGCACCGAGGCTGGTTGGGCCCTGTCCCTGCTGCCTGCTGAAGGGACACCAGGGCAGGGAGGGTCCCGGCACAGCCCATGTGTCCCCACCGTGTCACTCCAGGAGCAGATGGCAGCGGGGCCGTGGTGGCCCAGCCTCTCCGCAGCTGTCTTGGGGCTGACTTCATCCCCGCTGGCGGTGACGCTCAGGCGCTGCCTTCCCTCCGGCCACCCTGCTCACAGGCAGGACGTGGGGACAGCCACCGCCACCGTGTCCCCGTGTCTGCCGCTCCCTGTCCCTGTCCCCAGGGATGGGGCAGGGGGCGAGCAGCAGAGCTGGCAGCACCGAGCGTCCTGCTGAGGACGGCCTGTCTCCTGGTGGGGACATGTGCCACTGCCATGGGGACAGCGCTGTGGGGACACCACCTCCATGGGGACACCACCGCCTTGGGGACACCACCCTGGGGCCACCACCTTCCTGGGGACACCGCTATGGGGGGACACCACTGCCATGGGGACACCTCCCTGGGGACACCATGGCACTGAGGACACCGCTATGGGGGCACACCACCACCTTGGGGACACCGCTGTGGTGGGACACTGCTATGGGGGGACACCATGGCCATGGGGACACCACTGCCTTGGGGACACCTCCCTGGGGACACCACCCCCCTGGGGACACCATGGCCATGGGGACACCACCCTGGGGACACCACCCTGAGGACACCGCTATGGGGCCACCACTGTCCTGGTGCCACCCCCCCCCATGGTGCCACCCCCCCCCCCGGTGCCACCTCCCCGGCCCCCCCCGCCCCCTGGCGCCCCCTGCCGGCGGCCCCGCCCCTGGCCCAGGCCCCGCCCCCCGCGGCGCGAGGCCGGCCGGGCCGTACCAAGCGCAGCACTTGGGGGGGGGGGCGCTCCGTTACCGGGGCTCTGCCCCCCCGGTATCCGCATCCCGGCCGCCCCGCTCCGCTCCGCCGGCTCCTCGCGGGCAGCGGCGCCCCCGCAGCGGGGGCTGAGCCGCGGGCGGGGCCGGGCCGGGCCGTGCCGGGCGGTGCGGGGGGGGGGCGGCACCCCCGCGGCGGCGGGCGTGGTGCGCGCCGGGCGCCTTAAAAGGGGCGGCGGGGGGGCGGCGCCGGGGGTGCGCGGCGGGAGCGGGGCCGGAGCGGGCGGCGGGGCCGGGCAGCGGCTGCGGGGAGCGGCTGGGGTGCAGGGCGGGCGGGGAGGGGGGCGCGGGGCGGCAGCGGGGCTCCGGCGCCGGGCCCGCACCGGGAGCGGGAGGGGGCGGCCCCGCCGCACGTGGCTGCCCCGCCGCACGTGGCTGCCCCGCGCCGGCCGCGCCCCGGTGGCTTTGTCCCGGACAAAGGCGGCGGCGGCGGAGGGAGGGGAGCGGAGCGGGGCCGGGCTCGCCCCCCGCCCGGTGCCCGCACGATGCGCGGGGGCTGCTCGGCGGCGCTGGCGCTGCCCTGGCTGGCGCTGCTCGCCCTGGCCCGGCAGCCCCCCGAGAAGCCGTCGGCGGCCCCGCTGCTGACCCGGCGGCCGTTCCTGGTGGCCTGGAACGTGCCCACCCAGGACTGCAAGCCCCGCTTCCAGGTGGCCCTGGACTTCAGCATCTTCGACCTGCAGGCGTCGCCCAACGAGGGCTTCGTGGACCAGAACCTCACCATCTTCTACAAGGAGCGCCTGGGGCTCTACCCCTACTACACCAGCCAGCGCGTGCCCATCAACGGCGGCGTGCCCCAGCTCAGCAGCCTGGCCGAGCACCTCGCCCGGCTCCAGGAGGGGATCGGCAAGTACATCCGCTCGCCCGCCAAGGAGGGGTTGGCCGTCATCGACTGGGAGGAGTGGCGGCCCATCTGGGTGCGCAACTGGAAGCCCAAGGACGTCTACCAGGAGGTCTCGCGGCAGCTGGTGGTGCAGCGGCAGCCCCACCGCTCCCTGGAGGAGGTGAACAAGCAGGCGGTCTTCGAGTTCGAGTCGGCGGCGCGGCAGTTCATGGTGAGCACGCTGCGCTCGGCCAAGAGCTTCCGCCCCAAGCAGCTCTGGGGCTTCTACCTCTTCCCCGACTGCTACAACCACGACTACAGCAAGAACAAGGAGAGCTACACGGGGCAGTGCCCGGACGTGGAGAAGACGCGCAACGACCAGCTGGCGTGGCTGTGGAGGGAGAGCATGGCGCTCTACCCCTCCATCTACCTCGACCCCCTCCTGGCCTCCACCCCCAACAGCCGCAAGTTCGTGCGGGCGCGGGTGATGGAGGCCATGCGCATCTCGCAGCAGCACCACGATGGCTACAGCCTGCCCGTCTTCGTCTACACCCGGCCCACCTACATCCGCAAGATGGACGTGCTCAGCCAGGTAGGGCTGGCAGCGGGGCCGTGCTGTTGGGCTGTCCTCATCCCAGCCATGGGTGGCCTCAACCCATGATGGAAAGAGGTTCTGGGCTGGCCAGGGTGCTGGCTGCTGTCCCCACTGTCCCCTCGCTTGGGAGGTGTCAATGGACGCATGGGTCCTGGTAGCTGGGATCCTGAGCTGTGAGAGCCCTCGGCTCCTGCACTGGTCGGTCCAGCCCCAGGGAGGAGGGTCTGGGTGCAGGCTCCTCTCTGAGGAGCCAGGACAGTCCCCTCACCCCGTGGCATGGGTCTCTTTGGGACACCCTGTGCTTCATGGGGCCCGTGGGCACTAACCAGGCTCTGTCCCTGCAGCCGGACTTGATCTCCACCATTGGCGAGAGTGCAGCGCTGGGTGCAGCCGGGGTCATCTTCTGGGGTGACGCAGACTACACCAAAAACCGGGTAGGTTTGGGGTCTGCCTGGGTGAGGGGTGGGAGGGCACTGACAGCTTGATGACAGGGCGTCCTCTCCACCTGGGATGCACCCTGGGGCACCCCAGCATGCCCCTGCTGACCCCTTTTCTTTTCCCCAGGAGTCGTGCCAGACCATCAAGGACTACCTGGAGGGGGACCTGGGCCGCTACATCGTCAACGTCACGACGGCAGCGCAGCTCTGCAGCACGGTGCTGTGCCAGGGCCAGGGCCGCTGCCTGCGCCAGGACAGCTCCGCCGATGTCTTCCTGCACCTCAACCCCAGCAGCTTCCAGCTGCGGCGCCGGGACGCGGAGCACCCCCAGCACCCCCTCCTCTGGGCCGAGGGCCGCCTGTCCCCCGCTGACACCCGCTTCCTACGGACCAATTTCCACTGCCACTGCTACCAGGGCTGGCAGGGCAGCAGCTGCCAGCAGCCAGCAGGACCCCGTGGGGGAGCCCCCGGCCCCCCGACGCCCATGGGACTGGGGGTGCTGCTGCTGCTGCTGCTCCTGGGCTGGTGCTAGCCTCGCTGGACTGCGACGGGGCCCCCCAGCACCCCCTTTCTGCAGCGGTGTAGCGGACCTGAGGGACACTGGCCCTAAATCGCCTGCTCGGCAGCTTATTGGGGTGGGGGGGGTGGGGGTCACCCCTCTCCTGCCCTGGGTGCTGGGGGCTGGTGCCCACCGGGGGGTGGCTGGGGACGGAGGGAGGGCACAGGGGGGGCCTCTCCTGTTGTAAGGGGAGGGACGGGGGCGGCGTGGCCGCACCGCGATTAAAGCCGAAGCGGCGCCGAGCGACAGCGGCTCCTTGGGGCTGGGGCTGGGGGGTGCTTGGGGGAGGGGTGGGCACACACGTGGAGCACTAAAGGGCGCGCCCCCGGGCGAGGCCACGCCCACCGCGGCGTTAGCCCCGCCCACAGCCACCGGAGGCCACGCCCACACCCGGATTTGGCGCCACCCCGCGAGCGTGGCCGGTGCCGGGGGGGTGGCGCGGAGGGCACCGGGCGGTCCCGGCGCGGAGCCGTCCTCAGCCCGACCTTGTCCCGTGTCCCCCCCCCCGTGTCACTGATTAACCAGGGCCCGCCACCGTGCCAGCCTCCGGTTTCCACCACCGGGCCCTGCAGCAGCCCCGTGTCCCTCCGGGCTGCCTATAAAAGCCCGCGTGCCCCCAGCGCGCCGTCCCCGGGCACCATGTGGCGGTGGTGGCACTGCTGGACCCTGCTGCTCCTGCCCACCCCGACCTCTGCTGCTACCACCACCGGTCCTGGTCCTGGTCCTGGTCCTGGTCCCGTCCTCGCCGGCCGTCCCTTCGTCACGGTGTGGAACGTGCCGAGCGAGCCGTGCGCCCGCTGGCACAACGTCACGCTGCCCCTCGGCGTCTTCGACGTGCTGGCCAACGCGCAGCAGGCCTTCGAGGGGCAGGACGTCACCCTTTTCTACAGCCAGCGCCTGGGGCTCTACCCGCACTACTCCCCGCAGGGGGACCCGGTGGATGGGGGGCTGCCGCAGAACGCCAGCCTGGCTGCCCACCTCCGCCAGGCTGCAAGCGATGTGCAGAGCGCCCTGCCTGATGCCTCCTATGGTGGGCTGGCTGTCATCGACTGGGAGAGCTGGCGCCCGCTCTGGGTCCGCGACTGGGGCTCCATGGACGTCTACCGCCAGAGATCGGAGGAGCTGGTGAGGCAGCAGCACCCCGAGTGGCCCTCCAGCCTGGTGGAGAAGCTGGCCCAGCAGCAGTACGAGGAAGCCGCCCGCAACTTCATGGAGCAGACGCTGCAGCTGGGTGAGCGCCTGCGGCCCGGCGGCTACTGGGGCTTCTACGGCTTCCCCGACTGCTACAACAACGATTTTGACAGCCCGCAGTACGACGGCAGCTGCCCGGCGGTGGAGCGCCAGCGCAACCAGGAGCTGGGGTGGCTCTGGAACAGCAGCCGGGCGCTGTACCCCAGCATCTACCTGCCCACGCAGCTCAAGGGCACCGGCAAGGTGCTCAGCTACGTCCGCTACCGCGTGGCCGAGGCCTTCGCCGTCCAGGACGGCGTCCTCGCCGCCGCCATCCCCGTCCTGCCCTACGCCCAGATCGCCTTCGACAACACCATCGACTTCCTCTCCGAGGTGGGGCTGGTGGGGACGGGGTGCAGGGCACTGGGGTGCTCTGGGGCTTTGCGGCACTGTGCTGGGAGAAGGTGGCCGATGGCTTGAAGCCAGGTGGCTTTTGGTGGGGTGGCGGCGTGCCCAGGTGACCTCTCCTCTCCCCTCGGGCGCAGGAGGACCTGGTGAACACCATCGGGGAGAGCGCGGCTCAGGGCGCTGCGGGCATCGTGCTCTGGGGGAGCTCCAACTACAGCACCTCCAAGGTGAGTTGGGGAGGGGAGGCGGGTCAGGGACCTCAGGACCCTCATTCCTACCGCGATGGGGCTGTGATACCACCTCCCCGTGCAGGAGACGTGCCTGAAGCTGAAGGACTACCTGGACGGTGCCCTGGGCCACTACATCGTCAACGTGACGACCAGCGCCCAGCTGTGCAGCCAGAGCCTCTGCTCGGGCCACGGCCGCTGCGTGCGCAGGGGGGACCAGGAGAGCTTCCTGCACCTCGACCCGCTCCGCTTCGCCATCGACCTGTCGGCCGCCAAGCCCCAGCCCGTGGTGCGCAGCCTGGCTGCTGGCGTGGACACGTCCCAGCTGGCCGAAGGCTTCAGCTGCCAGTGCTACAGCGGCTGGCAGGGAGAGCGCTGCGACACCCAGCGTGCCTCCCCGTGAGCCCTGCCCGCGTCCCGTCCCCACCCCCGTGCTGGGCACACACAAGGTGGGGAGGGTGGCACCGCCTCGCACTCAGCTGGGAAGGAGAGGAAGCAAAGCCCAGGCTGAAAATAAAACCGCTCTGCATAGCTCAGTGTTGCTGCGTCCTTCCGCTGTGGCTCCGGCTGCTGGTGGTGGCAGGGTTGGTAAGGGGATAGCCAGGGCCACCCGTGACACTGCAAAGGGCCTGGCAGTGGGGTGTGGGGTCTGGCAGCACCCCACAATGCCCCACAGCATCTTGGCACGCTGCACCCATCCCCTCTGATTTGCTCCAGCCCATACAGAGCCCTGGGTGCCACTGCCCTGCTGCTCTCCCCAGGCACCTCCCCACGTGGGGAATTGTCCTTGCAGGAGAGGACACGACGCACAAGGGCACGCCGGGTGTTACGACTGCAGAGTTGAGGAGTCAATAAACCTGTAGCTGAATGTTAAGAAGAGAATTAATTCGAGACTCCAGTTCTGAAGAGGCATAGAATTACAGAGCAATGCAGGGTGACAAGGGTTAAGTAGACATAAAGATAAGTAGACATAAAGAAGAAAGTAGACATAAAGAAGGGGATAAGTAGACATAAAGAAGGAAGGAGAACTGCTAGGCAGGGACTTGATATTTAGGGACTTGATATTTACTCCTGAGGCCAGGTCAGGCACCAGCTCATGGCTGTGCCGTGGTGATGCGCTACAGAAGCGACATCTACAACTCAGGGAGTCCTTTTCCTATTACCTCCTGCTCTAAGCAGCTGTGGGTCTCTGATGCCCCTTCTTTGTCCTTACAAGCCACTCTCACAGGGTTGCATTTTTATGTTTTTCATCTGATGAGTTCAAAACCCACTGAAATACTTTGGAAGATTTTTAAATAGTTCAGAAATTTTTCTTTACAAGTCTTTGCAGTGATAAAAGGTCGCCTGTGGATATCAGGCATCATTTTGGCAACCAAACACTGCTGACACAGAAACGTTTCCAGACATCCCTTTACAAGATGCTCTCTCCAGAGCATGAGCGTCTTTTACAAAGCAGTTGGCGACATCAGCCTCGACCTGAAATAATTTGGGGCTGGCTGCCCATACTCTTGTCCTTGTGTGTACCCCAATAACAACTTGATTGATTCCTGCAGAGACATTGTAGGTATCCATCCTGCTCACACCTCCTTATTTTTTGACGAGGTAATGATGGAGATGCGATTGGACCCTTTGGTTCCCCAGCCACAGGCTTCAGAAGCATGTACCACCTGATTGCCAAGCTCTTTCCCTCTAAAAACTTAGTCATAATTGGATTTTGGCCTGGAAAGAATTGTCTAATCTAATTCTCACAGCAAGACCTTGACAAACGCTGTGTGTAAATATTGGAAACAATATTATCTTAGTATTTTTTGTATGCAGAACGTGATTCAACTCAATGAATGCTCTGCGTCCCTCCCGAGCTACTGAGAATCTGGTATTTGTATCAAAGTTCACCTTTCTATTCACAGAAGGAAAACAACTGTGATGTCCAAGTCCTCGTTATGCCTGGAAGGTGTCACGGCTCCGTACTTGGAGCTTCTTGTCATCCCACGTGCTTCAGGTGTTTGGCTTCTGGTGTTAGGGGCTGCTTTGGAGAGTCTCGTGGGCATGGAAGTTTAGGCTAACTCAGCCCATTACCTGAACAAAGCACTGAAAAGGGCACCAGGAATGAGACGCTGCCTCTCGAGCTGCAGAAATGTCTGAACACTGCCAGGAGCTGTGTGAGCACCGCGAGAACCCTGCCTCCAGGTGCCGGCTCGTGGCTCGCCTGGAGCAAAAGCCAGGCTGGCAAGGTGGACGAGCTCATTTTCTTGGTGTTGAAATAATGTAAGCCTGGGCTCCAGCAAGGCTTGTCACCTTCAAGTAGTAGTTTTCAGTGTGCTGAAAAGGATTTGTTTTAGTCATCCTTACGGTAGCTGTGCCTCCAACCTTGGAGGCCAGCTTACGGGATAGCCAGAGACACCCAACACTGGGTGTCCCATCACCAGCTCCTGGCTCCAAGGAGGACAGGGACACGGTAGGGACACCGTGCACAGACAGCGGTTTTCATGGTGAGTGAGCAAATCTGCAATGCTCAGAGCAGCGTTGCTCCAAGAAACACAGACGGTCGCTTAAATCCATCCTTACAGAGCCTGTTTTTTCATTTCAAAAAGTATTTTGTTGAGTATTTTTGGTCTAGGTAAATTAAGCCACGTGCTGTCTCCAGAAGAGAATCTATCTTCAGTGCTTAGGATGGTTTAACTATCCCAAACAGTGAAAACTGAGTTGTGGATTGCTCTGAAATGAGGAAGAATGTTGTAGGACCTAGAACAAAGATGCTAATGGTCAGAAGCCCCTAAATACTTTGGTATGACTAGGGCATGAAGTAGTATCAGCTGAAAGGCAAAGTACAGATTGAATAAAGCATGGAGATCGCGTAAAAGAGAAAGAAGAAAGCCCTCCACAAGTTGGAAATACAATGCGAATACAATACGCCAGGAAATCGGTGGCGATGTCAGGAGAGGCTGAAGGTTTTCTCTCCTGCTCCAGTTTCAGCTTGCTTTGTTTTGGCCAAAGCTAGCCCCAAACTGTCCAACAGGACAGAGGATTGCAGCCTATTTGGATCTGGCGTTTGAAAACCTCCCACTTCTGTTCTTTTGCCTCGCTCTGCTGTTTCTAGGAAAGATCCAGACCCCTGGTCTCTTTCTGGGGCGCAGACTCCACAGCCGGCCTGTGCGGGACAGACCTCGCTCCAGGGGCACCAGCGCTCCTTCCAGCTCAGCGGACTGCAAGTTCAGAAGTTACTTGGAAAAAAATAATAATAATACATTGCCAACCCTGAGGCATGGCTTGCTGGCTCTCAGCAACTGTTTAGACA